TTAAGAAAGGGAAAAGGGGGAAAGTTAAAAACTAAGTTATCTACTCTTCTTCTTCTCGTGACCGTGCTCTCCTCCATAGCCAAAGATCATATCCAACCTCCCGAGTCAAGCAAGAAAAAGGAAAAGGATAAGATTGTAGAGTAGTTGAACGCCATTTCAGCATAATAGGGAGGTCTATAAGGTGAATACATCTATTGTAATTATATGGGATGAGAGAGACTCACAATGAGTCAACCTCTAATGTTTTGATTTAATGTATGTTTATCGTATTTGATATATGTTTATAATGTGTATGGAAATGATATTATGAATAATTTTTAGAGTAGGAACTGCTCTAAAATGAAAGTTAAATGTCTAACGATGCATTTTTTGCAGAAAGGTGCCACTAATGCAAGTTAGATGAAAAGTTAAATGCCTAACGGTGCATTTTTGGGAAAAAAAATGTGCCACTAATGTAAGTTAGATGAAAAGTTAAATGCCTAAAGGTGTATTTTTGGTAGAAAGGTTCCACTAATGCAAGTTAGATGAAAATTTAAATGCCTAACAATGCATTTTTGGTAGAAATGTGCCACTAATGCAAGTTAGATGAAAAGTTAAATGCCTAACGGTGCATTTTTTGCAGCAAGGTGCTACTAATGCAAGTTAGATGGAAAGTTAAATGCCTAACGGTGTATTCTTGTCAGAAAGATGCTACTAATGCAAGTTAGATGAAAAGTTAAATGCCTAACAGTGCATTTTTGGCAGCAATGTGCTACTAATGCAAGTTATATGAAAAGCTAAATTCCTAACGGTGCATTTTTTATAGAAAGGTGCCATTAATGCAAGTTAGATGAAAAGTTAAATGCCTAACGGTGCATTTTTGGCAGTAAGGTTCTACTAATGCAAGATAGATGAAAAGTTAAATGCCCCACGATGCATTTTTGGCAAAAAGGTGTCACTAATACAAGTTAAAAGAAAAACGATGCATTTCGGCATAAAATGTGCCACTTATTGGTTTAACTAAAAATATTTTAAATGATTCTCATGAAGTATACGAATTATCTCAAATTTTGATAGTCATGACATGTTTATGAATAAATTGTAGTTCATTTATAGTATTATGCCTCACTAAGTAAATACTTAACGTGTGTTGATTTCACGAGTAGGTAAAATCAAAGATTAGCCAAGTAAAGGGTGCTGCAGCATCAGCTATCATCAATCTAAGGTTGACTTATCAGTAATAGTAGGACAATCATGTTTATTTTGAAAATTTGCTGGCATGTAATCGAATTTAAGAAATTTTTTTTGGAATGTATTTAAAGTGATAATTTTAGTAATATGATACACATAATGTTTTGTTTTAATTTTGAAACAAAATTTTACGGATTTTACAAATGAGTGAATGTTTTCAAATGTCATATGACACCTATGACTTGTGTACGAAAACGTATACGGGGAATGGGTGTTATAGTCTAGGCTAGAAATTTTATGATTGCTGAAGAATAGAGTCGACTCTAGGACTTGATACTTTGTGATCGTGTTAACACGGTTGTATGTTCTATGCTTAAGGTGCTTAGAATTTTTTTAGGAAAGAACTTGTTGTACATCGTGGCATTAAATGATCGAAAAGATTAAGTTGAATTCCTTAATGTTTTGAATTTTGTTGAATTGCAAATAAATGCCTCGACATAACTGTAGAGGGACACTCTTATATGTGTCGGCATGACCTAGAAAACTCCTTAAATAAATGGTTGCCTTAGCATATGTATCGGGATGACTCTACTTGACTAGCTCGGGGGTGGAAGGTATGCTCCCTTTCACCTAGAGTGTGGGATAGTAGGTGTGATGAGCTGACTCCCCTTGAAGCAGTGCTAAAAAAAAGAGAGAGAAAACAAAACAACACAAAGTATGAAGTTACATGTTGAATAAATAGGAGCAAAACTATTCTTAGTGAATTATTTGATGCCTTGTCAAAACAGAAGAACTTACTTAGGAGTTTTCTAAATACGTTAAAACATAGAATATATACAATCACGCACAGACACTGACAAAGAGTCTTGACATAGGGAAAGGTGCTTAACTTCTCGTACAGTATTGCATGTTGATGCCAAACGTTTTACGAAGGGCTGAAATTTTAAACCACATGATTGTCTTAATTGTTACTTTGCTGTGATACTTAATTTTTCTACCACTTATTATCCATTGCTTGAGGACAAGAAATAACTTAAGTTTGGTGGTGTGATAACTCCGTAAAAGATAGTGTTCTGGGTCTTTTTATGTAGGTTATTATTTGTCTAAAAGCCATTTTTCATAGCATTTTAGTTGTATATAATTGCATGTAGGACATATTTGCATGTGGTGGATAGGTCTTGCCGAGGTACACTTTATCTGGTTTAACTGATGCTGCTGAAGAGGAAGGTTGTTTTTCTGGTTATGTTGATGCAGGAAATGACGAAAGATGAAATCATTGGCCGGGACAAATCAATTTGCTAGGGCTAATGGAGCAGAAGACGATGATAGTGAGGAACATATTTTCTTTCCTATACGAGAGATATCATGCAAGTCTGACACAATTGACGACAATGCTGATGTCACTTGCCCAACTTCAACCTCACGTGACTCATGCCCTTATTAAATTGAGATCACTGCCAGCTACTATAACATTCACAAAATGGGTTTAATATTAAGGGTATTTATATAATTTCCAAGGGAACTAAACCCTAGAAATTCCCACTATAAATACCCCATTATAATTCTTCATTAAGGGAAATCAGAACTGATAAGAAGAGAGAATAATATACCTGAGACTTGAAGTAGGCGGCTCCAGTACTCACTTTCACATCGTTCCCCACTCGGCTGTTCCTGGTACCGTCCATAGTCGGACTTCACTGGAGTGACTGCTAGGCCTCGAGAGAGACTGGTCGCCAGAACAAGCATGGTGGTGGTCAGAATGTCAAAGTAGAGCTCTAATTTTTTTCTTCCTTAGTTTTTATTTTAATATCAGTTAAAGGGTTGTACTTAATGACTGATTCTTAGATGATATTTACCACACCATAATTGTTTTATTTGGTGTTGGACGACGCTTGAAGATACTTTGTTTAATTGTTAATGATTGATGCAGTTTTTGTTTTTGCAAAGTGTTGTTTTGTTCAGTGTTTTAATATTTTGCCTTGGTGCTATAAGAGCTTTTGAGAGATTGTCTGGTCCCATGACAAAAATAATCCTATTCTTTGTAAGAGCCTTCGAGAGATTGTCATTTTTCTAGGAGTAGATGCCTAATATCGAAAGAGTTAGGGTATATCTACGTGAACAAGGGAACTAATCTGGGATGCTAATCTACCTTACAGATAAGGAGAGGGTTTCATTCGACTAAAAAGTTAAGTACTTGAGTGAGTTAGGCCAAAGGATATAGTTTACGATGAGTGGTATTGATGCAACAACAGTTTGACAAACCAAGGGTTGTAGTGCACGCCGAGTAGTATTGCTATAACAAAAGTCCTAAAACACTCTAGTAAATCCTGTCGGGCAGCACAAGCATAGCATTATGAATCTTCATAAATGTAGAATAATTTATCATTGTAGCAATTCCAACCCAAGTGCTCCGTTAGAAGTCTGATTATGTGAGGTTTTTTCTGAACATTTGATACTCGTTAATTTTTATTGCTTTGACAACTTTTATTTGTTTACCTTTAAATATTTTTATCGCCTCGACCAAGATTTTCTTATCACTACACTTTACAATTTTTCTTGCCTCGACAATACATTTCCATATGCTCGTACACTTTATTACTGTTTAGACAAGAATCATAGGACTAGTTAGTGACTCCTAGTTCTAGCTGTTGTAAACATAAAAAATTACCATCAATCCCGGAGGAGACGATAACTCACTTGCATCAATTGTGTATAATTGCACAGATTTACGTGTCATAACACACATACTTACACATGATCATTGTTCTTGTAGTATCGATACTACTTTGCTTAAAATGAATTTTGACTCGATTGAAGTTCGAAACCCTTAGAAAAATTTGTTCCAAAATTATTTTCGGTATATGACTTAATTTTTCAATAAAGTAAGGACTAAAATGGAGTTTTTGACATTATAAAGAATTTATATATTCGAATGACAGAATCAAATATAAACTAAAAATTTGTTAAAAATATTAATTTTTTGGTATATCAAAATATCAAAGTATGTTTCAATAACTTTTCAGACCAGATCAATAGAAAATGTAGGTCACAAACTCTAACACACGATATATTATTGGGTTTGGGTCAAATTATCATTTATAAATGATCGTTTAATTCAAAATATTGAACGATTGAGAATTGAAATTGAGCTTAAATGATAAGATTGACAAACAAAAAGAAATATTTTTACAATAATAAATTAATAATTCTACATATACTCAATTAGATTCATATCCGACTCAAATTGAATTGACACTATCCAAAAGTTGACCCAAACCGAAAAATCAGTCGATTCGATATTGACTCGATCCGAAAGTAAATCGATACAATATTGATCAGACCTAAAATCTAACCGATCCAATATTAGCTCGACCCAAAAATCGACCGATCCGATAATCACCGACCCGACCCAAAATTGGCATGACCAGACCCGATTTATCATACATCCGAATTAAATTCAAACCAGATAAAATTAAACCAGTTGTAATATAGACCTGAAATGACCGACCTAAATCCGATCCGAATGACCTGTTTGCCACCTCAAATTTATATTAGTAACCTTTTGTAAATTTTGAAACTTCAATGCTAAAAATAGAAACTTATTCATAAATCAGCAACCAATTTGTCATTTACCCTATTTTATTTTAGTGCCCTACCTGTAGCTTTTGGTATGGTTAGTTTTTACACTCTCGCAGCTTCGTGTCGTCTTTCTTTCTCTAAAGTTCTCAATCCCACCAAAAGTCTTCGGTACCTATCCGATCTACTCTTCTTCTCCGGTGGGGCAAGTGGTGAAGTTTTTACTATTTTATCCATGGAAACTGGTAAATAAGGTACATCCGTCTTCCTGGACCGTGTTTCTCGATCAACGAGAGGGAGAAGGTAAGTCTTCATCTTAAAATAAGATAGTATTAGTGTCTCTTAATGTTGTTCTGTTGTTTTCTTTCTTCTCGAAAATTCTTTTGATATAATTGTAATGGAAACCTTATTATTTGCTATTTCCAGGATGACGAAGTTGTTGGACAACGAAGTTGAAGAGGACGAGTTGTTTTGGAATCAAGACGCATTTAAAGATGTACAAGAACGCACTTTTTTCTACCAGGATTACTCTTTTCAAATTAATAGATTATAGAATTGATGTTGATGTGTTGGGATATAGGTGATTTCATGTTCCCTAGAATTGGTATAAACTCTGAAATCAAGTCTTTTAGAACGACATATTGGGATTATGATCACCACCTATAGTTTATTAGCTTTAGGTTTTGATTGAAGGATTCACAGACATTTACAACTTTTCTATTTGTGTTTTTTCTCCCCAGGAGGAGAATGATGTCAATTATGAAGAAGAACCAGAGGTCGCCGATGAGTTTGATAGTGACTTCGACGAAGATGTTTGTATTGCTCTCTTCTCTACTTTTTATTTAATTAATATTCTATCATTACTATTCCGTGCTAAGATATCTTCCTTAGTGATAAGAAAAATTGACTCTCTTCCATAGTTGCTAGGAATATGAGTCAGATGAGGAGGTAGAAAATGAAGCAGATGAAAGGTTTAGCTTCTTTTACCTTTTTATATTATATTTACATCTCCATTTCATAGCCATTATTTTTATTTTGAGTTGCTCTAGCAGGGTTCACACAAAGAAGCGTATGATATTTCCCGGAAAGTCTTCTGCGAAGAAAAAGAAGAAAAAGAAAGTCCTTTCAAATTTAGATGGTGATTCCAAGGATGAAAATGCTACCCAAAAGACTACCTCTCCTCAACATCATGATGCCCCTGAAGATGCAGAAGGTGAAAGAATTATAAGGAAATCTACTAGAACTTCAGTCATTGTTAGGCAAGCTGAGCGAGATGCGATACGTGTAACATCCCAAATTATGGGTTAGTGACCATATTGTAAATTTTAAAAATTTGGTGACAAAATTATAATTTATTAAAAAGTTCAATGATTTAAATATGAATATTTCAGTATTGGATTAAATGGTAATTAAGGAATTATGGAAGGGATATAATGGTCTTTTTATGAAAAAGATATTTATCTCTTATTAAAGAGATAAGCATATGAGTGGGGAGTATCTAGAAGCTTATTTCCTTCTTCTTCTTTTCCTTCTTCTTCTTCTCCTTCTTCTCCCCGTAAGCTCCATGGCAAAGGTAAGATATATCTAATGTAATTAGTATACTGATATGTATCAATGTATTGCTATGTAGATTTAGAGCGTAATACTGTTCCAGAATAATCGAAGGATTATGATTGATTCAAAGCAAATAAGGCTAAGGTGAGTGCAATTTAAATTGTACTTATAGAACAGACATTGGCTTGCGATGAGCCACTGACGGAGTTACTATAGTAAGAAGTAACTCTTAAAATGTTATTGTATGTGATATGTTTAACATGTTCTATGTATTGTGTGAAATATATATGTGCTTACATAAGAACATGAGAGATCAAATAAGCTATATGATAAGGATATAGAGAGTGAAATGAATGACATGAACATGCATGTATGTTTGATTATATGTGTGGATATGTTCTTGTAAATGTTATGTGGCTTATGTAAATAAATGGAAAGATGAATGTGATATATATAATATATGTGAAGCATCTGATAATAAGAGATACTAGTGATATTCATGTTATATGAACATGAGAAGTGGTACAAGTTAAATGACATATGAATATGAATTATATGAAAGTGAAATGTACATGTGAATACGTGAAAGTGTGATAACATAAAAAATAATGCCCATGTTATGTTATATGAGAGCTAGGGGTATAGTTGGCATGCCAAGAGTCGAGGGTCTACGCGGTCCTTCGGGATATATACATATTCTTTGGAACATGTGTGAAGTCTTGTGAGACACATACTTGATCCCTAGTATATGTATATGATTTTTAAGGAATGATATGTGGTCCTTATGGACATTATTATATGGCACTACGGTGCAATTCTACGCGGCACTCCGGTGCAATTCTACGTGGTACTTCGGTGCACTTATACGAGCTGTGGTGATAGCATAGTGGTGCAAAACCTCAATAGACTCGCGTATCTACAGTTCTCACATATATACCATGGGCTAATAAAGAGATAATAATAAAAACTTGATATGATGATATACTTGTTTCCTTATGAAATGTTATGTATGATATATGATTTTACAAGGGTAATTATAAGATCATACAATAAAAGGAATCAATGATAGTGATAAGAGATATGAATAATAATGATATATATATATGTGTGTATATATGTATTTGTTACATGTAAAAGTATATGAATTGTATGGAATGATAGTAGTAATTGTTTATGTATGATTATTAGATAATGTTTACATTATATGTTTATTGTCTCACTAAGTCATAGACATAGCGTGCGAGTGTTTCACGCACAGGTTCTTACAAGCTTATGGATAGTTTGGGTGCAAGACAGGTCAGTTCTCCTTACTGAAGGTCAGATCAGAAAAAAATAAATAAACAATATGTATGTTAGTATATATATAAGTTCATGTTGGCATGTATTCAAAAGAATATGTGGTATAATCTCGGAATAATTTTGTACACGCTTTGAATAAGTTATATGTAAATGAATAAGTGAATTATGAACGCTCTGATCGGTTTTGCAATAATGAAAATGTATTTTATGTAAATTGGTCAATTATATGTTATAAAACTTTTTAAATTACTCACTATTTTATGCAAGTAAATGATTTGATATGTCAGTGTGACACCTCGGATTCGTATCTGGTTCAGGTACGGGTTGAGAGGTATTACATTTAATGGTATCAGAGCTACGGTTTAGTCGATTCTAGGCTAAAAACGAAGTCAAAAGTGTTTTAAAAAAAGTATACATACCAACATAAAGTGGAAAATTTTCTGATCTGATAGGGTAAGGAGTGTGTTGTCTTGTTAATAGAGTTAAATTTTTTTATGTTATATAAGATAATTGAATACCTGAGAATGATTTATTAGATATATATGTTTATATGATATGATAGATGATATGTGAACATATACAAATGACATGTTATATGATATGAATTAGATGATAATTTGTAAACGTGATATGTGATAGAATAAATTATATGAGAACATTAATATATGAAAGTTTTCAAAGAGAAAGACAAGGCAATAGACTGAAGGTAATAGCATTCACCTGCCCTGGCCAGGCAGGGAGAAGAGCGAAAACCTCAGGGAGTGCCTGTATAAGATTAGAGAATATTATATGATGTGGAATGATATTTTAGTATGATTTCAATTTTATACTGCTATAATTCAAAGAATGAATGTATCAAAGAGAGTTGAGAATACCCGAGTTCAAGGGTGAATTTGAGAAATGTTCTATTGTTATAGAGATTTGATTAAATTATATGAAGATAATGTTAGAAGGTTTTCATTTCTCCAAAGTGGAGAAGTTAAATTGAGTAGTTTTGTTACTACATGGGTAATCTAGAAGTATGGTGGACAAATGTCACCATAAGAATGTTAAAAGATTAAGTAACGTGGTTATTGTTGTAGAAGAGTTCAAGAATGAAGATGATGATATAGTTGCTTGTGCGTTTGATTTACGATAGGATATATGTTTTACATGACATGATATATATATATATATGTTATATGGTATACGTGAGTACATGTTAAGGTATATGTCTATGAGTATAAGTTTAATAAGTTAAGCAGATTTATTGTTGGGTTGATTTCTATTAAGAAGGATACCTGTGATTGGTTGTCTAGGGCTTGTTGTGCCTTAGATTAAAAGAGTGTTAATGGTATTAAATTTGTTTTCATTTTTAAGAAATGGTTAATCACGTTAAAGTTCTTGAGAGAGCTCAGAATAAGAGGATTGGAAAAAAATCTTAGAGGATTAAGAAAATTAGTGCTTAATAAAGTTAAGCACCATCAAAGAAAGATATAGAATATGGTTTTCAACTTTAAACCAGATATGAATTAGTTGTATTCTCCGCTAGAGAATAAATCCAATCAGTTCAGATGGATTGGAAATTATAGTATTAAAGGAACTTTATCGTTCTGAAGTAGAATAATTTCTTTACAGCATGGGCAAGATAAAGTGGAAGAGATTGATGTTAATTAGAGAATATTAAAAGACCAAGGAAGGGTTTAAGATATGTATATCAGTGATCAATTATAAGACAAAGGTAAATGGAATGTTTGAATTCGAACCAAAGGAATCGTATTATGGACGAGAGAGAATGAAGGTTTGATAAATGAAGAAAAAAGCGAATGAATTATTTTGACTGTAAAGAATATATATATATATATATATGAATAGTTTAATGAAGCTTTATGTTTTGATTGAAAGGAATAAGTCAAATAATTAAAGTAATGAAGTGAAGATTATGATAGCATGAAAGATTTATTGAAGAGGTAATATGTGAAAAGGAATATTAGACGTGTAAATAGTATTGTGTATAAGAAAGAGTGTGGATGTGATGAAGAGAAGGAGATAAAGATTCTTGTGTTTAAGGGAAGTTAAGGATTGATAGAGAAGGGTAAAGTAATATGAAAGGAGTGAGGAAGTATAAAAGAAAAGATATGACCAATGTTGTAAGGATATTTTGATTTATGGAAAGTAATGGAATAAGGAAATGATAAAGTTTACAGAATCATATATGACAAGGGATATACAATAGGTATAGAGTATAAGTTTGATAAAGGAATAAGAAAAGTGTATAAAGTAATATAAAAAGATCATGTGTATTGTAGTGCAGACAATGATTAAGAACTGAGGAAAGGTTAGGTTTATGTTGCAAAGCAATTAGAAGAGAATAAAAGAAATTAATTGAGTTATGATATCGAGAAGTAAGGATTGGATTTTTCTCTATATATAATGAGTAACAGTATATGGATTTATAAAGGTTGGATATATGATTGATTAATTAGGGCTTGTGCCCTAGATTTAACCGTTGATATTTGCTAATTGTAATAGTAAATGTGATAGAGTTATAAGATTGAAAGAAAATATGAAGTGAGTTAATTAAGTATGATATGAATTTGAATATGATTATGTATTTGGATCCTATATAAATATGATGAAGGCAAAGAGATGATGAAGGCAAAGAGAAGAGTATTTACAAGTTTAAAGGGAGCTTTGAGGAAGGAAAATACAAGTGTAAGAGGTGGTGAAGAATAAGGTTCTGTATAAGTAAAGCTGGTTATTAGAGTTATAAAAAATGGAATAAAGAAATGAAAGGATGAAGTTTAAAGGATCATATGTGATAAATGTTATATGGAAGTGTAAATGATAAGTTTGATATAGATTACGAAAAGTGTGCAAGGTGATGTGAAAAGATTGTTTGACTTCATAAAGTATATGTTTAATCACAATTGAAGAAGATTTAAAATCGTGTTTTGGTTAAATGATGACGGAATAAAAGTTTGGTATAGTTATAATGTAATTAGAGCGTTATGAAGAAATAGATGGATTTATGTTATAGAGCGATGAGATGATCATTTCTGTCTACGTGATAAGTGACATTATATGAAATTTTAGAAATATCAAAGGAAAAGGCAGATTGAAGGAAAGAAAAGACGGTAATGGAATGGATTCTTTGGAAAATGGAAGGCAAATCATTGATTATAAATTATGAAGGGATAAAGTTGTGAAAACAACTTAAGAATATTAAAAGATATGTTCTTGTTAAAGTGTGCAATGAAAAATTCGAAGATGAATTTTCTTAAAAGGAAGGGAGATTTGTAATATCCCAAATTATGGGTTAGTGACCAAATTGTAAATTTTAAAAATTTGGTGACAAAATTATAATTTATTAAAATGTTTAATGATTTAAGTATGAATATTTCAGTATTGGATTAAATGGTAATTAAGGAATTATGGAAGGGATATAATGGTCTTTTTATGAAAAAAAATATTTATCTCTTATTAAAGAGATAAGCATATGAGTGGGGAGTATCTAGAAGCTTATTTCCTTCTTTTTCTTCTCATTCTTCTCCCCATAAGCTCCATGGAAAAGGTAAGATTTCTTAGTTGTTGATTATTAGCTAAAATTTAAGTGGGGTTTTAATCATTAGGTGATACTTAAGCTTAGGGAAAGCTTAAGTTATATTAAAATCAAAGATGAAGAGGTTATAAAAGATTAAAGAAAATGAGTTTTAAAGTGAATTTCTGAAAAAGAGTTAATAAATGAACGTTGAGATGGAATTTGACTTGTCAAAGGTGTGAATAAGAAGTTATAAGTGTTAAATCAAAATTTAGATAACATGAAAAATTGGGTATGATTCTTAATTTTAAGAATCATGAAGAGATATGGAAAATAAAGATAGTTTATATGGATATAAGTGGTTTATGAAGTGATAGTTGAGTTTAATGACATGATAGGGGGCTTAAAATAGAAGAATTGAGTGAAGAGTTGATGATTTTTGGGATTGAAATACAATTTTTGGGTAAGGTGTATCGATGCACATTCAAAGTGCATTGATGCACCCTTTAAGGAAGAAACATCGAATGCAATTAGTGCATCGATGCATAAGGCGTGCATCGATGCACTCCCTTGATACAAAAACATCGAATGTATTTTGTGCACCGATGCACAAGTAAGTGCATCGATGCACCGTTAAGGATGCATCGATACACTGTATAGTGCATCGATGCATACCTTCATTAAGAGTTGAAATTAGCTTTTCTTTTAGCCTAAGAAGTGATAGTTTAAGATATATCTAATGTAATTAGTATACTGATATGTATCAATGTATTTCTATGTAGATTTAGAGCGTAATACTGTTCCGGAATAATCGAAGGATTAGGATTGATTCAAAGCAAACAAGGCTAAGGTGAATGCAATTTAAATTGTACTTATAGAACGGACATTGGCTTGCGATGAGCCACTGACGGAGTTACTATAGTAAGAAGTAACTCTTAAAATGTTATTGTATGTGATATGTTTAACATGTTCTATGTGTTGTGTGATATATATATGTGCTTACATAAGAACATGAGAGATCAAATAAGCTATGTGATAAGAATATAGAGAGTGAAATGAATGACATGAAAATGCATGTATGTTTGATTATATGTGTGGATATTTTCTTGTAAATGTTATGTGGCTTATGTAAATAAATTGAAAGATGAATGTGATATATATAATATATGTGAAGCATCTGATAACAAGAGATACTAGTGATATTCATGTTATATGAACATGAGAAGTGTTACAAGTTAAATGACATATGAATATGAATTATATGAAAGTGACATGTACATCTGAATATGTGAAAGTGTGATAACATAAATAATAATGCCCATGTTATGTTATACGAGAGCTAGGGGTATAGTTGGCATGCCAAGATTCGAGGGTCTACGCAGTCCTTCGGGATATATATATATTCTTTAGAACATGTGTGAAGTCTTGTGAGACACATACTTGATCCCTAGTATATGTATATGATTCTTAAGGAATGATATGTGGTCCTTATGGACATTATTATATGGCACTATGGTGCAATTCTACGCGGTACTCCGGTGCAATTCTACGTGGCACTTCGGTCCAATTATACGAGCTGTGGTGACAAAATAGTGGTGCACAACCTCAATAGACTCACGTATCTACAGTTCTCGCATATATACCATGGGCTAATAAAGAGATAATATTAAAAACTTGATATGATGATATACTTGTTTCTTTATGAAATGTTATGTGTGATATATGATTTTACAAGGGTAATTATAAGATCATACGATAAAAGGAATCAATGATAGTGATAAGAGATATGAATAATAATGATATATATATGTGTGTGTATATGTATTTGTTACATGTAAAAGTATATGAATTGTATTGAATGATAGTAGTAATTGTTTATGTATGATTATTAGATAATGTTTACATTACATGTTTATTGTCTCACTAAGTCATAGACTTAGCGTGTGAGTGTTTCACACGCAGGTTCTTACAAGCTTATGGATAGTTGGGGTGCAAGACATGTCAGTTATCCTTACTGAAGGTGGTAGTGATTTCTTTAACCAATTTGATGTTGGTTATGATTTAATACGAGTGAATTTTTTGCAAACTTTGATCTTAGTAATTAGTTTCTTATGTTTCTAAGGTCAATCCGTTCCTTTGCTAAAGCATCGGTATTAATTTTGATAAGACTATATGTCTAATTAATATTTAACAAATCGACTAAGGATTTAACAACATAATTGTACTCATGCATTCAAAGTTTCAAAATTCAAATAGATCAAATATGCATATCACATTGGTTGAGACTATTGTCTTCTTCGATAAATAGTTAATGGCTTAATTTAAATCAAACAATGGTAGACATTTTTAATTACCTCTATATTTTCATGCATGATCTACATGAATAGAGTATGAAATATAACCATCCGATTAAGAAAATATATATATTTGTTTATGTGCTACATCAGCACCATAGTGACTTTGTAGCTCTATTCACTAGTTTTCTGTTGTCTTAAACCCTATCATGTTATTTCTAGCACCAGGGTGCAGCTTTGTTATATTATGAAGTATGTCAAAAAGTACTTTCTTTTGAGCAGACTGCAATATATTAGAAGCCATAAAAACATCATCACTATCTTTTACTGAAACCGCTGTAATCCACTGATTGAAACTCATGATCTATGCAGGGATGTCAAACTGTCCAAGTTGCTTACATGTAAGGATTGAGAACAAAACATATGTTTATACACGCATGCACGTCTCAAATTCATTAAAAAGAGTCATGAAGACATTCTATTCAAAATTGATGAGAATATCCTCATGAACTATTTATGTATGAATATTATCAAATGTATACATTAAGACTTGTATCTACATATCTGTGTGTGTGTATTGTGTGATTTTATAATCTGGAAAGAGTGAAAATGTAGTTATCCATGTGATTATGTTTATGACGTATTTTTTTTCACCAGCCAGTAAAAAGGAAAAAAGAAGGTGAAGAGAAGAGGATGACTCAAGAAGAAATGCTTCTAGAAGCAGCACAAACTGGTTCAGGCTGAAAGCTAACTTTGATGTTTTGATTTCTGAGGTTCTTATTTGATTTTAACTTGAATCTATGAATTTTAATTTTGCAGAAATCATGAACTTAAGGAATTTAGAGCGTGTTTTGGTAAGAGATGAGGAAGTTAAGAAAAGAGCAATAATCCACAAGGCTGTTTATAGTGGTCCACAAAGTAAATATGTGTCAAAAGATGGAAAGTTTCTCTTCATAGCTATTGATTTTAGTTCTAAAATGCAACAATAATAAATACATGGTTCTTAATTGTTCGAAGTTTATCAATTGAAACTATCTATACAAATCCTTGCAATCTTTTGCAGGTTATTCATATCTAGAATTTAGTAAAGGATTAACATTTGACTCAGAGCTCTCAACCACGTTGCCTCCTTGTAAGTTGTAGGGTGGTCATGAGTTAACAAAATTTCTGATGTAGATTCTTTAAAATTTCTTTCTTATCAAACATATACTTTTTTCAGTCAATCGCTTTTTCTCTTCTGGTTTTATCTTATTTTATTTATCTTGGATTTCATTTTAGCACAAGCTTTCAATAGACTCAACCTGTTGAAGTTGGGAAAAATATTTGCGCTCCATGCATTATGTGGAACTATTGTCATATTTTTTTCTTGTAGGGACATTAGTTTAGATCTCCAATACTCCTAGAAGTTCAGGAAATTTTGCTTTTAGCTTAGAGCTTGGATCATTGGGATTTTGCATAGGGGTTTAAATTAAGCATTACTCTTAATTTTTCCATTCCACCGTGTGAGATAATCTGTTGTTGAGGGAGGTTTGAACTACTAAGAAAATTGAAAGAATATGATAAATCTAGTTGATTTAGGGATAAAAAAGGGGTCTGGGATTTTCCGGCAACCAGATTTATTAAAACTCTCTTAATGGTAATAAAACTGCCAGAGTGGATTCGGAGGTGGGTGTTTCTGCGTTGAAAGATTCTATAGCGAATGAGGAGCTCATCTACTTAGCAGGTTAGCAAAATGATGGGGGTAACCTTTAGGGGAGGAAAGAATGTTTTTGCTAAGAAGTTTTTGGAAATGATTAAAAACAGGGGTGAGGAGGGTGGGAATTAATCCCACAACTCTAGATAAGGTGTAAATTTTATTGTTTAATGGTTGGGTTCTCGTGTGTAACTTGGAATATAAAGGGGTTGGGAAGGAAGGAAAATGCAAGGGTTGTGAGGAATGTGGTTATTAACAGGAAACCTTCAGTATTATTTTTGCAAGAAACTAGAGTAGAGTTGGTGAGACCGTCTATGTTGAGAAAGTTAGGGGGAAAGAATCTTAGCGGGTTTGCCGTGTCGTCGTCAGAAGGGGCATCTGGAGGAATCCTAAGTTTATGGGATGAAAACTGGTTCATATCTCAGGTGTATCAAATTTCTTTTAGGTTCGTGGCAATTAAGGGAATGATCAAGAAAAGCAAAGAGGAGTGTTGTTTTTTAAATGTGTATGGCCCTACCATTGAGTCGGAGAAGGAGGCTTTTTTTGAGGAACTGCTTAGCTTCATTGGTACAATGGATTGTCCCTTGTGCGAAGGAGGTGATTTCAATTTATATTTGTCTCAGGATGAGAAAATTGGAAAAACCCATAATTCACATTCTTTAAGGCTTTTCAGGGAGTTCGCTTTCCATGGTGAACTTAGCGTTGGCAGGAGGGAGCTTCACATGGTGCAACAATAGGGAAGTTCATTCTTTTGTTAGAGTGGATCGGCTTTTAGTGAATGATAATTTTTTGTTGTTGTTCTCAGACATTGTCCAGGTCTTATTGCCAAAGTCAATTTCGGATCACAATGCAGTGGCGTTGGAAATTAGTCAGGTTAATTGGGGTCTGAAACCTTTCAAACTTTTTAACTACCCTATGGATGAGGTGAGATTTCAAGACATGCTAGAAGTGAAAATCAAAAAGGTGAATAGGGGAAAGAGGAGGGGAATTGAAAGCATACTAAAAGAATTAAAGGAAGTAATTAAAAGCTGGTCTAACAACAACCGAATGCAGCTACCGAGAATGATTGAGAATCTGGAGAAGTCCATTTCTGAACGGGAGACAGAAATACAAGGGAATACTCTGGCTTTGATGGAGTCCATTGCGAGGGAGTTATGGTCTTTGTATAAAAAAGACGAACAAATTTGGTTTCAAAAATCTAGGCCAAAGTGGATTCAGGATAGCGATCGGAATTCAAGATATTTTTACCAGTACGCTTCAAATAGGGAAAGGGTCAGTGCCCTAAAAGATTTGGAAGTGAATGGTAACTTGGTTTCGGACCCGGAACAGATAAAATCTAGTATTCTTGAATATTTCAAGAAAGCTTATAACTTGAAGCCAACATTGGAGGTGGAGCATATGGACCTGCATTTTTATAGGCTTTCTAAAGAGCAGTGTTTCGTTCTGGAAAGGAGCTTCTCGGAGGATGAAATTTGGGAGGCAATCGCTTCGTCGGATAATAACAAGGTGCCGGGACCAGATGGGTTGAACATGGGTTTCTTTAAAAGATTTTGGCCGCTCTTGAAGGAGGATATTTTGAAGTTTTTCAAGGATTTCTACTCCGAAAAGAAGCTAGGAAAAGGTGTGAATCATTCATTTATCACGCTGATTCCGAAGAAGACGAATTTGGTTGGTATAGAGGAGTATAGGCCCATTAGCTTGGTCGGTGGATTGTATAAGATTTTGTCCAAAGTGTTATCAAGAAGATTAAGGGTGTGCAAAGATTCGCTGATTGGCCCTTTGCAGTTTGCGTTTGTTCCAGGGATACAGATTTGCGATTGTTCCTTTATAGCAAATGGAGGCATCGATTACTGGAGAATAATCTCAATTGTTCTCTAAAATTACATATAATCTCACAATCACCCAATCCCCTCCTTTGCTAGCTTGTCAGCCTCACAATTACTAACCCTAGGTATCAATCTAAGAATAAAATCATTATCTAAAACAATAGACGCAATGTCTTTTACAATATTATTAAAGAAAATCGGAACTGAAGAAGATTTAATCCATTCCACTGCCGACTTACAATCTGATTCAACAATCAGCCTACCCTTTAAACACCATTTTGAAGATATAAATACCTCTAAGCCTTTTTTGATAGCTTTCAATTCTGCTAGAGGGGGAGGGCAAGCACCAACATTCTCTGAAAAAGACAAGAGAGTAGAGCGATTCCAATCTCTTAGAATACCCCCTATACCTCCTACTATTTCATTACCACTAACAGCCCCATAAACATTCATCTTAAAGAAATCAACTGGAGGGGGACTCCAGCAAAGTGAAGGCATAGGCCATACTTTAGAAACATAATGTTTGTCTGCCAATGAAGGATCTACTATCAATAAATCAGGTTGAATATTTACAAGAGGATATTTGGCTATAAACTATTTCGCTATTATGAATCTGACAATGAAAAAAAGCGAGATTCTGTCCAGTTTTCCTCTATAAAAAACAATGTCATTCCTTACCTTCCATATTGACCAAAAAACAGCCCCTGGAATAAACTTCCATATACGTGAATTACCCCTCAAATCAGTACACGAACTAAGAAGGGATGGGGGATCACAAGGCACAACTAATAAAATATTCCAAAAGCTGATTATTTTTGTTCCGAAAGCTCCCACGAAATAGAACAAGAGATGAAAAGATGTTGGACTGTTTCCTCCATCTGATTACAAAATGGACACTGACTATCTTCTCCTAAGGGAACCCCCCTTTTCTTCAACTCAAATCTAACTGCTAATTTCTGATGAGAAAGTTGCCAAAGGAATGTCTCCACTCTTGGAGGAACTAAACCTAACCATACCCAATTTTTCCACAAAAAATTATCCTCCGGAAGCAAAGAGATAGACTTCCTACAATCTTTAACCGAGAACAACTCATCACCCCTCCCATTCCACATTAAAAATCATCAATTGAATCAGATAATCTAAAGTTGCTACCCTTTATCATTAAATCCACCCATTGTGTCACTTCCTAATCACATAAGTTTCTCCTTGTTTGTATATTCCACTCCCATTCTTTTGAACCTGAACTACCAAAATCAGCCACATAACCCAATTGATTTGTCAAAAGAGCATAAATCCTAGGAAATTGAATTTTCAAAGGAGAGTCCCCTGCCCAAATATCATTCCAAAAAAGTAGATTTACCATTACCAACTTGAAACTTCGCATGAGATATAAGACAAGCTCCCTCTGAGTCATCCTTCATGAAATTATTGACAATTCCTCTCCATATCCAAGAATCCTGAGTAGAGGAAACTCAGTTAATTGCCATGGTTTTACAACTCACATTATATTTGCAGCATAACAATTTTTTCCACACTGAATCCTTTTCATTAGAAAACTTCCAAACCCATTTTCCCAACAATGCACGATTGATAAGATTCAAGTCAAGAACTCCCAAACCTCTATTGCTCAATGGTTTGCAAATATTATTCCAACTCACCTAGTGAATTTGCTTCTTCTCAGCTCCCGATCCCCAAAGAAAATTAGCCATCAAAGAATTGATCTGACTTATTTTACAAGGCATCTTAAAAGTAGATAAGAAGAACATGGGTAATGAAGACAAAATCGACTTTAGGAGCACCACTCCTCCCGCCATAGATAAACAAGTGGCTTTCCACCCTGCCAACCTTTTGTTGAATTTCTCAATAATCGGTTCCCATAGAGACTTAGAATTTTTCTTTGCCACAAGAGGAATGCCAAGATAAGTCGAAGGGAATGAACCAGTTGAACAACCAATGGTTGATGACCATTCTTGAAGGATGGCATTGTCTACGTTTATACCATATAGTTTACTCTTGTTTAAATTTATATGAAGCCCCACCATTAGGCTAAAAATCCTCAAAACTCTTCTGTCATTTTTAATTTGAGTAAGAGAGGCTTGGCAGAAGTTAATAAGATCATCAGCAAACTATAAATGAGATAGTCTAAAAGGATTCTCAGTCTTACCCATAGAAAACCCTTGAAAAAGACCTAATTCAACTGCTTTAGATAACATCAAGTGGAGCAATTCACCAACAACATTGAACAAAAGAGGAGAAATACTACAACCCTGTCTTAATCCTTTAGCCATAGGAAACTCTTCTGTCGAGGAGGCATTTACTAAAACGAAAATCGAAGCTTAAGATAAACAGTGTGAAATCCATGAACACCATCTTTCACCGAAACCCATCTCTGCCTTTAATCTAAGGAGGATTGGCCATTCGACAGAGTCATAAGCTCTACGAAAGTCCACCTTGAATACCACCCATTTTAGCCCTTTTTTCCTCCAATAATTAATGCCTTACTTAGCCATGCAAGCACAATCCAACAACTACTTTCCCGGGATAAATGCGAATTGGGAAGGGCTAATAACATCTTTCACACAAGATTGTAATCTCTTAGAAAGAACTTTTGAA